AAAATTTGTAGGCACCACCACATGCAGGATCGACATTTTATAATTTTAAGGGCCAACACAGCATTGTACTCTTAGCGATAGTATCAGCATCATATAAATTTTTAATGGTTGACATTGGTGCTCAAGGGCGACACAATGATGGAAGAATTTTTAAAGAGTCCAATATGGGACAACGATTTCAAAATAAGCAGATGGATTTACCACATCCGTGTCAATTGTCAAATTTTCGTAATATACCTATTCCGTACATGCTTGTAGGTGATGCTGCATTTCAACTTACCAAATATATGCTAAGACCATATCCTGTTAATCAATTAAATAGAAGTAGAAGAATATTTAATTACAGATTAAGCCGAGCAAGACGTATCTCAGAAAATGCATTTTCATTTCTAGTTAATATATGGAGAATTTATAGAAAACCGATTAACGCATCACTTAAAACTACTGAAAGTATAATTAAAGCAACTGTCTGTCTGCATAATTTTTTATTATCAACACGACAATACGGATATATGACAGATGATATATGTCAAAATGTTATACACGAAAATACAGCAGCCATTAGAGATGTTAGTAACATAAGAAGTAATACACATTCACAATTAGCAGCAAGTATTAGAAATGAATTTTGTGAATATTTTGTACAAGAAGGCTCTGTACCTTGGCAAGAAATGTATATTTAATTAACCCTTAACTACAGCAACGGGTTATTTGAACACGATGCAAAATTTTTTTGATAACTGTATAGTCCATTTAGAAAGGGTGACTGAGGTTTATAGTTAAAAAAAATACGGATAAGTTATAACATCTATCTAAAAAACAAACAAACAAAATACACAAGCGTATGAAAGAGATAGAAATTTGTAATATAAATAATTACAAAACTTCTATCTCTTACGCTTTTGTATTTTGTTTATAAGATTTTTTTTATGTAGGTGTTATAACTTATACGCCCTTGTAACTTTTGTGCCCCTACTTGTCTCCCCTTATACTTTAAATTATAAGTAAAAAAAAATTAAATTTCCTTTATTAATTATAAGATTCACTAGCATTCTATGTTTCAAACAGATCACTTTAAAATTTAGTACTTTTTATAGCTGTAGTTAAAGATTAAGTATATTTTTATATATGTATGTAAATGATAAAATATATGTAAATGAGTAGTTTTTTGCAAAATTAGTAATACAATAAAATACGTACATTAAGCGCCAATAAAATATTTAAAATAAAATTTATGTAATTTTATAAAATAAAACTTTTTTCAAGGTTATTAACCTGAGTATACTTTTCTTATATTTTAACAGAAAAGAATCTACTTTATATAGAATATTTTATGTAACTTTAAATAATTAAAAATAAATATTGCTCAGTACGTTGTATGTACGCAATGTTACTACTTCTTTAATCGGTAATATAGAAATATAATAATAGGAAACTTATCCTGTTTGATCACAATGGTCGCGTTCAACAGACTCGAATTGTAGTTCCACGGCCACTCACAGCGACCAATGACTAGAATTCCAACGTCAAACGAGCGCTACTTGTAATAATGAGTGCTTTCCAGCAAGGATACAATCAGACACAGTGGGTGCTTTCCGGCAAGGACACAATCAGACACTGTGTAACACAGTAAATCATTTCATCCTTGTTTAACATAGGCAAACAACAAGGATGTAATGATTCACTGTGTTACACTGTGTCTGACTGTGTCCTTGCTGGAAAGCACCCAGTGTAACACAGTGAATTGTTTCATCCTTGTTTAATGTAAGCAAATAACAAGGTCATGATTTACTGTGTTACACTGTGTCTGACTGTGTCCTTGCTGGAAAGCACCCAATCTTACTGAGTATAATTATCTTGAAGTTCAAACAAGAGCGATAGTATTTTTCTTTGATATGTTATGAAATTATCTCGTGACAATGTACGAAGTTGCGTTGCCAAATAATTGCAAAAAGCTGCTATTGGATCGTTTTGTTTATGGATTCATCCGTCTTCTTTATTTCTGATATTACAGATTGTTGAAGTGATAGAAACTCATCTTCTTTTTTTTTAATACTCTGACGTCGTCTTTTTTCTGTTGGTGCATCAATAAATACATAAATACATATACATAAATATTTACTAAATTATTTGAAATAAATACACCTAAAAGGTACAACCGCTCGGTAAGCAGGCTATTTCGAAACCTATTTAAAAAATTGTTGTAACCTTTTAGGCCCTGAATATATGTACGTATATTTGAAATATACAAAAATATTAAATGTAAAATGACCAAATTCCATATAATGCAAAATAATCATACCTGGTACATTAATATTTTTTATATCTGTATTGTCAGTACTTAAGACCTGCAGGTTTTTTGAGGGTTTACTTTCCTCTAATTCCATATTTTGACGTTTTAATGAATAATTTGATACTGTTGATCTAGAATAAGCTTGATTTTGGGAATCGAAGTTTTTTGGAAAAAATTCTAGAATTTCTGTATTACTTGTAGTATAGAACTTGATGATGCAGAATTTTTTTCTAAAAAAGTGTCATTTTTATAAGTACTACTTCTGTAATTTGATGGAGTAACACATGTAGAATTTTGATCTCTCTCTTTTAATGGTTCTTTTAAATAACATTTATTCTTGTTGGTAGAAGGTATAAGTGGTTTTATATTACTAAATGTCCTAAAAGCAAAATCATTTAAACATATTAAATAATATATTAAAATATATTAAATAACAATTAAATTGATAATTATGTGATAATGTAATGTAATAATATTTACGAACTTTCGACGTGTTACTGTTGATCGTAAAAATCCCATTAACTCAAAATATGGCCATGATACTGGCTTAGGTTTGGCTTCAGCAGCACTTCCACTAGGAACATATTTATTTTGCTCACTTAACTTTCGGACATAAGTGTCGCGTAGATTACGCCATTTAGAACATGCTGTACCAGGATATAAATCTTAAAAAAATATATATATATAAAATAAAATGAATAATAGTAAGATATAAAAACAGATCGACCCGTAGTCATAAGTCTAATTAATATATATTGAGATATTAATTCAAACATCTAACTTTGACCGTAATTAGCTTTTGTATTTAATAAAAAAAGAAAAATTTTACACATTATAAAAAGTTCTTTTTCATAAAAAGCTTACTTAATTTTTCATCAATCTCCGACCACAAAAATTTGATTGTTGCTGGTCCTCGATTTTCATATGGAAGACTGCTATTCCACAATGGTGGTCTTCGAAATACCTCGTTAATTAGTTCTTCAATATTTGGAACTTCAGATTGAAGTACTATCTCGTCGAATGGTTCCCAATTATTATTTGATTCTTCATTTTTATTTAAACAGCATATGTGATCGGAGGAATCCAACAATTCGCCACAGTCTGTGCAATACTTGAACAAAAATACAAAAAAATTTAATTAAATATGCAATTTGTAATATATTAAAAACGTTAATTTATCAATTATAATATATAAGATATACATAAAAGTGAAAACAAATCAATTAATAACCTAACCTAATCATTTAACCTTGATAAAATTATTTTTATAAATATTTTATTACTTACAGCATTGTCCATTATGTATCTCGATTATGTATATCGCAAAAATGACGGCGATTCCGGCGAGAATCGTAAATAAATCGTGAAATCAAAGTATGATATACACCGATCACCTCAAACCGATGAATTGGACGAAATAATGCAATACCCGAACCGGGCAAGACGCATGTTCGTCCCATTCGAGTGGTCTCGCGAGACTTGTGTCCGTCGTACGTATGAAAAAGTTCAGTCTTGATGAACATTTTCGTACGACAAGCATCATCGTACGACAAAATGTTTTAGCTGAAATATCTAGAAAACAAGTTCTCCTATTGGATATCAGACATCGTATGTCGGATGTCGTACGTAGTGTGAACATATGCGTCGTATGACGGACGTCGTACGCAGTGTGAATCTTAGGCTGGAGTCCCATGAGGTGTATTTACCGCGTATCGCGTAACCGCGTAACCAATCAGAAGCGATCCGCTGTTGTGGTTTCGCGTTTTACTGATTATTGATTGGTTACGCGGTTACGCGATACGCGGCAAATACGCTTCATGGGACTCCACCCTTAGGGTGCCGTCCCATGACGCGTATTACTGTACGCGCGTATTCGCGTATCGAAGGATCCAACCAATCACCGACGATCCGCCGTTTTACGTACGCGTTTCAGAGGGAATTGGTTCGCGAACGACAGACTGCTTCGTAATTAATGGACCAATTAATTCCAATAATTTTTTTAATGTAATTGAATCCATTCTAAAGTAATTACGAAATTTTGTTTCATCTTCAAACTCCATTTCTTTGACGAGATTTTCACTAGCTCCTTGCAAGAAATGTCGATGCAGGGTAAATATGGGTCGTACCCAAAATTGATGTTATTTGTCTTTTCCTTTGTTTCTTATATCTTCATACAATGCATACAAAAATAAGATTTTTCGACGCAGTATTTCTTGTTTAAAGGGATTACTTTGTTTGAATTTGTTTACTAATGTAAAAATTGCTAACAATATATAGTCTTCATTTGAATCCATTTTTTCTGTAACAAAAATAACATCTTATTTTGTACTAAATAGTACTGAATAGATTATAATTTCTTTCAATCAGGACTCTAATATACTACCGTATTTATTTGTATCTACCTTTTTGGTTAAGGAGCACTTCTACATGAAATAAGAATAGCTAACGATCCGCCGTTTTACGTACGCGATAATTTTGCCCTTAATGTAAGCGGATCCGCTTACGCACGAACCGCTCCATGGGACATTAAGGGGAAAATTATCGCGTACGTAAAACGGCGGATCTTCAGTGATTGGTCGTATCTTTCGATACGCGAATACGCGCGTACAGCGATACGCGTCATGGGACGGCACCCTTACTTCTAAGCGATATTGCAATATTAGGAAAAGTATCTTCAATTTTGTCATTTTGCAGTAGTTTATATAATTCTGAAATTTGCATCTCTCCATTTTCATTGGTCAAAATATCGGCTTTGTGCAAATATTGAGTTAAATATATGCATTCCAACTTGAGTTCTTCTGCATTGACGTCATAATGATAAAATTTAGCAAATTCTTTGCAACTGATCTGCAGTTCAGGTGAACTAATTATTTTTAGACGAGAAAAAAATCCAAACCGTTGGTTGATTTCGTTGTATGAAGCAGATCGTTTATTTAATTGAGTAATTAATGTATCAACTATTGGTAAGTAAGTCTCCACTTTGAATTTTTCTTTACCAGTAAGACTCACATTCTCTGTTGGTCCATCAAAGAAAGTAATACGAGAGCTTCGAGTTCTTGCACGTTGCGATACATCTTTGTAGTCAGCATCTGGGAATTTCTCTTTAGCGGTAAATTCGTACTGGTCAAATTTATTCCTCACGTTATCAAAAAAATCAACGAGGGAAGTCAACAACTTCGTCGCAATATCCAATGTTAGGTCCTTTTTTTAAAGGGCAATATTTGTCTTGTTGATTCTTGATAATATGCTGCTCCACATCTCTGTTAAAATAACAATTTCTAGTTTATTCATTTTTTAGATAAACTGTGAGCTTCATACCTGGTCTCTCCAGGTTGATTCGTATCTTGAGCAATTATTATCAAGGCTTCCAAAATTTGTTTGTAACCTTTCTTTAAGGCGCTAACTGTGTCAGCACGAGCGGACCATCTGGTATCAGAAAGGCATTTAAGAACTTTGTTCGAACCCAAGCATCGTTTCATGATTTCCCAGCGATGTGTGGAAAAAGAAAAAAAATTGTATATTTTTTGAACGAATCCGAAGAAATTTGTAGCTTCTACAACACACCCCGCAGCATGAACGCCTACCAGATTCAAGGAATGTCCCGCACAGGGTACGAAAATGGCAAATTCACATTTCTCTTTAATTCTTGCTTGTAGATCTGAGTACTGTCATATTCGACGCATTATCGTAACTTTGTCCACGATAATCCTTTAAACAAACTCCGTACTTATCCAAAAATGTCTGAACTGTTTCTGATAAATATTCTGCTTTGTGCTCTTTAATAGGTATAAACGCTAGGTAAAAACCTTTCAACTGGTGTTCCGTCTTTTATATATCGAACGATAAAAGTCATCTGATCTATATGGGAATAGTCAGGAGTAGAATCGACACTAATTGAGTAATATTTTGCAGTTTTTAACTCAGCTAAAATTTTATGTAGAACTTGTTTTCCCATAGCATTGATAAATTCATTGCAAATATTAGCTGATAAATATGAAGGATTTCCTTTCCCCGTATTTCCATATTTTTTAATATGTTCTGAAAGAAAGGAATCGTATTGACTCAATAATTCTAGACATCCCAAATAATTTCCATTGCTTTGTGATCCAATGGTTTGATTATCACCACGAAATGCAAGACCTCTTGAAGCCAAAAATTTGATAACACTAACGATCCTTTTTAAGACATCCTTCCAATAGCCAATCTCTATGTTATATTGAGAACGCAAGTCACTATCTACTATACCGACATTTTTGCTTCTTATGATTAAGTCGTCATAGATTCTCTATGCGCTAAACTATTCTCATGTTCCAAAATAAGATTTTTTATGTGCTTCCAATCATTACATCCACCTGACGAACTAAAACTTGCGTTTGAAGAAGAGAAAAGATAGCAGGAAAAACAATATACTGACTTTTTCAAAGGAGAATACAGGAGCCATTTTCTGTTAACTTTCTCGCCATTCTGTAGGGTGCGGACGAAAGCGGACTTATTCAAGTGTCTTATTTTTACTTTATCATTTGCTTCTTTATAACTCCGAGCAGTCTCTAAACATCATTATCTTTATTTTGAAAAAACTCAGGTCCTTTTTTGATCCAAAATAAACGGATTTCTTTTGTAAATGCAGCAGCCCAATCGCCGGGATCGTGTGACATATTTTTAAGTGAGGATTGGGTATGGTCTATTTCAGGATTGGGTAATACCTAATAATTAAAAGTTAAAAATAAAGTTAAAAAATATGATGTTTTAAACGATAAAAATCTAAATAACGAAAAAAATTGTATAAATGGTAGCCTCAAGAATTTTTTAATTATGATAGCATGGTAATGATAATAATTAAATATCTCTTTTAAATAAATATAGCATAAAAACTTAACATACAGTTAATGTTCCTGTATTTTTTTCCTGCTCGTCTGGAGAACTGTGATCCAATGAAGGAGGGAGGTTAGGTTTCGTTTTCAGGTACAAAAAATGAGGTTAATTTGGTAATTTGTCAATGATTTCCTTCTGACGAGCTACTTTTTTTCTTTTCAATGAGCCGCTGGGATATGAACGTTGTGACATAATTGGTTATGTAATTGACTTTTATTTCTGAGCCGAAAATCTTAAAAACTGCAACTAATATAAAACGACACTTTAACGAAGAAATTTTTTTTTTTCAACGCTATGTTATTATGTATATATTTTGTGATTATTCAGCTATTCAATGCATTTGCACATTTGCATTTTTCAACGAACTTCGGAATTGTTAATTGTTATGACTAGTTAGAACGAAGTAAGGAGAAACACCTCAAAGTCCATAGCAATTAGGCAGCATTTACATGAGTGCGTAAATGCGATATAGGAAATTACTAGATTTTGGCGATCCATGCGAATAGTCGAATCACATTGTGAATGGCGTTTTAATTCTAAAATCTTAGATTTCAACCAATAAGAATTCGATTTCGGAGAAATAGATTTCAGCTAAGACAACCCTATTGGCTGAAATAAACAAAGCATAAAAATTCTGTGTGATTCTCAAGGTGTAGTTACGTGCAAGCGTCGAGCGTCGAGCATCAAGCAACAGACTTCATTGATTGGCTGCTGCTTGCCCAAAATTTACTAGCAACCAATCAACGAAATCTGCTGCTTGACGCTCAACGCTCGACGCTTGGCATGTAATTGCACCTTCAAGCGGAGACATGCAGTGCAGCATGGCACGCGCCGCGCGAAAACTTAAAATTCATATTAGCAATTTTTTTTTTATTATATTGGGAAATTTTTTTTTTGCTTTTACTTTTGGCTTAATAGTGGGGCCCTCTTTAACACGGGGCCCTGGGCCCGGGCCCATCGGGCCCATGCCTAAAGACGGTACTGGTTGTAGTACTGAATACACACAATCAAGTGATCTGTTTTCTGTTTCTGCACTAGACTGCACTAAAACTTTCTTTCTCAGAAGTGAAAAAAAAAGTTCTAGTGCAATCTAGTGCAATAACTGAAACTAGATCACTTGATTGGGCATGTACAGTACACATATAGTCATCAATTCTATCCTTGCTTTCCTGCCATTCCATGGAAAAGAAGAATTTCAATTGGTTGATTCCTGTATGCATCTCAAAAATCAATCAAATTAGGCTTATTTGACGCATTTTTGTATGAAACGAAAGAATCTGGCAGAAAGAAGTGTCGCTCTGCCCCGTGAACCGAGATATTAAGCGTTAAAGTTGACGATTATTGTGGTTAGGAAATCTGTCACTGTCACGTCCGGGTCTTCGCAATGCGCCGGGCGCGGAGCACGCGTTCGATCTTTTCGCTCTACTCTTCAAGGATCAGGGTGCGGCTGCCTAAATGGCTCGCAGATGACGGTTAGAGAAAAAGTGAGGAAGAATAAAAGAAAACCTTTTAGACCAGACGATTTATTTTATTGGCTGCTTTGGGCGCGGAATTTTACACACGAGAAATCGGACTCCTCGGAACGTGACTATCTCGAACATTAGAACATATATAAATGGAAGGGGCATAGGGCGTTGAACGTGAAGCCACATCTGTGCGAGAGAGAAAGCTAGTAAGGGATAAATGTTCGCAATGCGCATGCGCAGCACCGTCATCTGTGTGAATTGTGCAGTTGGTTTAGTGTTTTTACACATTCGT